TCACTGTGGCCCAGCCAATCCCACCTACAATCTCTTGATTCCCCCTGCTACTTATGATGAGGCAGTCTGTCACAGTGATGCATCCAGGTGGAGGGCAGCCATGGATAAGGAAATAGATCAGTTAAGGTCAATGAATGTTTATAGCCTTGTTCCTCTTCCTCCTGGGGCTCATGTGATAGGAAGTTGTTGGGTGTTGGAGTATAAAGAAGGAGACAGTAAGGGGGGGCCAGTCAAGAAGGCATGTTTTGTTGTGAAAGGGTTCACTCAGGTACCAGGCAGGGACTTTGGGCAGATGTTTGTGCTGGTTGCAAGGCAGAGTTCCATTCAACTCCTCACTGCCATTGCTGCCAGAGAGGACTGGGAGCTGCACTCACTGGATATCAAGAGAGCATTCCTTCATGGAAAGGTCAAGGAGAAGGTGTACATCAAACAACCACCTGGGTATGAGGAATATGGCCCAGATGGCAAGGAGTTAGTTGGGTTACTTCATTCTGCTCTCTATGGGATTAAACAGGCTGCCTACCACTTCTATGAAAACTTTGCTCTGAACTTGAGAGTCAGGGATTCTGGCACAGTGAGGTGGATCATGTGGTGTTCATCTTTTGTCAGTTAGAGGTTGTCTGCATGGCTGCCTGGCATGCCAATGATGGCCTTGGTGGTAGCAACAATGAGCATTTCCTCACTGAGGTCAAGCATCATCTACACCTCCATTTTGGCATCTCAGACATGGGACCCATCACAAAATACCTTGGCATCCAGTTTGAATGCAATTGTCACACTCACAAACTGTGGCTTCACCAGAGCAAGTACATCATCCACCTCCTCCAAGAGTATGATCTCATTGACTGCCACCCAGTACACCTTCCCATGGACCTCACCCATCCTTTTCTCACTGATGCCAAGGCAGCAAAACTGGTTGAACGCACCAACCTAAGGTCTCTTTACCCAAAACTCATAGGTGAACTGTTATACCTCTCTGTTTGCACCCATCCTGATATTTCCCTTGCCATTCAGCATCTTTCACAGTATCTCTCCTGTCCCAGTGCACATCTACTCAGAGCTGTGAAATGTATCCTTCATTACCTTGCAGGCACAGTTAATCATCACCTTCACTACAGGGAACACATGTGCAGTCCTCTTCTGCATGGGTTCATTGATGCTGACTGGGTGACAAACCCTGAGGATTGTATTTCAGTGACAGGATATTGTTGGTTCTATTATGGGGGTGTCATCACCCACTCTTCTAAAAAACAGACTATGCAGGCCCTATCCTCCACCAAAGCCAAGTATATGGCAGTCACTGCAGCCATCCAGGAAGGTCTGTGGATTCAGTCCTTCCTCCTGTCTGTGGGTTTCCCAGTGCTGCCCCCCACCCATCTTTATGCTGACAATGCAGGGGTGATCACACTCTCACAAGAGGCTGCAAACAACCATCACACCAAACATATCAACATACATTATCATTTTTGTTGTTCTCACATCAAGGCTGGGACCTTCCTGCTTGAGTGGGTCATGTCCTCCCATAACACTGCTGATGTCCTCACCAAGGCCCTGCCTCATCCATCCTTCTCCTGTCATGTCACTGGTCTCTCACTCATGTCCCATTGAGGGGGTGTCAGAGGTCATTTTCAATGGTCACTTTGCTTGCTTCTCATTTCTGTTTTTTCCTTCTCTGCATGCAGAATGTTTCTCATTTCTGTTCTCTTTTCTTTTCTCTATGCATGGAACTCACATTAGTTTGGACTTTCCTTTTGTCCCTTTGCACATGTCCCACTGTGGGGGCATGTTGGTGACAACAGTCACATGTTAGGTGCACTTGTACTTATAGAACTGTTTACATTAGTTTACACCTCAGTGCTTGTGTCTATGACACCAAGGTGGGTACAGTAACCCCTGAGGACATGCATGTGTACTTACCTCCTGTAGCATGTCCAGTCAGGTACTGTCAATGACAGCACTTGTGTCTACAACACTGAGCATGTCCTGTCAGTTTTACAACATGGGACAGGGTTTATAGATACAATTTAGATGTTGTAACTTCCAGGGGGTTTGCTGGAAATCAAAGCTTGGTTCACAGCTAACCTAATCTCTGCTGCTGATGGATATACACCACCATCAACTCAAAGGTTGCTTCCAGCCAACTTAATTTCTGGCCAATCCCACATCCACTGGGGAGGTTAGTTGATTCATGTCCAGGGCCTGGGTCCCTCCAGTAGTGACATTGGCCAATCCCACAACCAGGGGGTGGGAACATCCAGTAGTGATGCCAGCTGATCCCATTTCCAGGGGGTGGGTCCATCTGCTAGTGAGGCTGGCAGAACCCACTTTCAGGGGCTGTCTTTATCCTCCAGTGAGGTTGGCCAGCCCCACTTCCAGGCAGGGGGTCCATCCACCAGCATGTTTGGCTGACCCCACCTCCACATGTCAGCCTACCCCCCCTCAGGGCCCACCAGCCAGTGTTGGTTAGTCCCACTTTCAGGGAAATTGTACACTTTGGGTGTCCCAGTTTCAGGACTAAGGTTGACTGAAGGGTCTGGCAGTAGTGCTCCCATTAATTGATGTTAGTGTCTTCAAAGTTTGCATTGCCATCCTCTTGGGTACAACAGTGGAGGTTGATGATGACATAGATCTAAACAATCCCTTCTTCCTTGATCTGATCTCTCCTGTTCCCATCACGCAGCCTACTATTCACACACCAAGGGCCTGCATGCAACCAGTGGCAAGGGGTGGTGATCCAGATTGGGACTGGTAATAGTATTTCACATTTTTTCATATTTTTTCACTCGATACCCCTTTTTTCACTGTGTGTTAGAAAGTATTTTTACGCTGTTAGTGAAAAAATACCCTGTGGGGCCATCAGTTACTACCAGCTCTGAAAAAGTCTGGGACATTTTTCAACCATACCCTAAAGCAGATGGGTCGCCGTCGACATCGTCGAGGTCACGCAGGAGGACAGTCTCTGGAGATGTCTGCAAGAGAGCTCAAGTGAACAAGCGAGAGTAACCAGAAGACAGACATTGGGTGGACACGACGATTCTCTCAGCTTATTGGAGTAGCTAGAACTTGAGTGTGGTACAACCCGTATATGGTTTGTGGGTGCATTATCCTTCAATCGATGACGTTGATCCGACTCGACAACGATGGACACCGGCAAGTCTTACCACAAACAAGCCACAGGCGCAGCTTTGGAGACAGTCCAGCAACATGCAACTGATCAAGATATCACGCTGTTTGCTGGGTGCTTCTGTCCGTTCGTACAGCGTGTATGGGTAGCGCTGGAATATCTCGAGATTCCGTACAAGGTTTGTGTCCCTCTCACTCGCCGATGATGTCAATCATCGCTCATGAAATCTCGTAGTATCGTAAGTTTAACACTACGATCATTTCGACGATCAGGTGGTAATCTTCGTGAATAGACGAAGTCGACCCGTACAAGAAACCCCAGGAGCTACTTGAGCTTTCTTCCAAAGGTCTCGTTCCAGCTCTGAGACTCAATGGTTATGTTCCCCCGCGAGCATTGAACGAAAGTACTGTCATACTCGAGTACTTGGAAGAGTTGGTTCTCTGCTGTCTGGTTTCTTATTGCCACCTCACACATTCCGTTAGTCTGGCGTCCACGTCAACCAAGCGCAGCCTTCTTCCTCCTCTCTCAGATCCGTGTGCGTATACGTTTCGTGGTCGACTACGTAGCCAGAAATTGTCCACTCATTGAACATCGTGCGATCCGTGCAGATGCACGCGCTCTTGTCCGGCTCCAATCGGACCACGCCAACCGTACCCTCGTCCCAGCTTTCTATCGCTACCTGCAAGCACAGGATCCCGACGCTCAGATTGCAGGCGGAGAAGAATTCCTTGACTGCCATTGAGACACTCGTGGGTCTTTTTGAGCGTGCCGACGTCGAAGTTGGCGGAACGGGGTTATGGAAGGAGGGTGGAGAGCTAGGGCTGGCGGACATACTCGTCGGCCCCTGTAAGTGACCCCCTTCTCTCTCTCTGTCGAGGGGCTTGGAGTGTTTATGACATTCATGACTGTCAGGGTTATTCAGAGGCCACCAACGTCCTCAAGCATTATCGTGGGCTCGAACTTCCTCGAGGACCCAAATTCGACGGTTGGTTGAACAGACTCTTCCAGCATCCCGCGTTCAAGTGCACGTGCAGCACCGAAGAGCTCTATCTGGATAGCTACGAACGGTGAGTAATCTTACCCAACGAAGGCATGAATGGCTCTGAGGATTGTCGAGCAGTTATGCATTCAATCGGCCGAACACGAGCCAGGTGGCGAATGCGATCAACACTGGCAGAGGATTACCTTGAGCGAGAGAAGAGTGGGATTGTATTGCTGGACATGTATAATAGTCAAGTTTGGGTGTCGTTCCGCGACAGATCCAATTTCGAGTTGTTTTTCACGGCAAACTCACCGAACACAACACGTACTCAAGCATGAAACAGAAGTACCCCAGTGAGGTGGTAAACAGAGCTTGCGTTAAGAGGGGGATATTAAGATACAGTCTAGGAGGTGTGAACTGCAGTAGCAATGGACGTGATTGAAGCCGGCGAAACTGAAGGTTGTACGACCATATTTCCCAAACGCGGCAAGGACTGTCTGGTGATAAACTCGAACGTCGTCGGCAGCTTGTCCGCTGCTTGACGGAGGGCTAAACCACAAAAAATGAAGGAATGAAACTGGCAAGAAATGAGAGTAGTGCCTACCTTCTCGAGCGAGCTCCTCCCGGATGGGAGTGCCTCCAATCTCGAAGATGACTCTGCCGGTAGGAACGCTGGCAAGGAAAATGTAGCCCACACCGACGCGACGAGAAGAGATTGTTCCCTTACCGTGTCGCCCAGAACTCGAACGTTCCCTTGCCCTTGCCCATACGCGTCTCGTTACCCTTGTGCAGAATTCTCAGATCAAGCCGCCCACATCCAAGGTACACCCTCTGAAACGCACCTTGATGCACACGGGGATGTCAGGAAAGACTCTGAGATAGACTTTTGCCCCCTTGACGACTTTTATGTTCCGCTTGATGACTTCCTCTGCGGTCATGAGCTGTTTTGCGGTGAACCTGATACCCATTCCTTTTATTCTGATACCCCAGTCGCCAAACGCAAGTGTGGTCCCCCTGGTCGAGCCACCTGTTGGGATTGGAATGCGGCCCTTGTGTCGCTTGACATTTTGGATCTGGCGTGGGGCGAGCTGTGAGCGGAAGCGGACGCCGCCGAGCTGCACGCGGGGCACAGGCAAACGCAGGGGCCACATCGAAGTGAGAACAAGAGACGGAGTGCACGTGACCCCTGCAGTCGTTCTTTCACTAACTGTCATCTTGCCAGTAGTCGTCATCATGAGCGACAGAAAGCGGGCTTTCGAGGGAAACGGCGAGTCGTCTGTCACAAAGAAACTCAAAAGGTACGAATGCATTCCATTCGAAGCAGTGTCACCAACATTCTGATACAACCCACTCGCCAGCGAACTTGTGAGTGTCTTTTCTTTCCTCCTGGCCTGCAAAGGTGAATCTCAACCCTCAACATCGTTCTGACATATCTTCTATAACCTCTTTGCTTCTTTCCAGACATCCACCAATGGATCCGCTACTCCAGCTGTCAGTCTCGTCGTTGCTACTCGCTGCCATCCACTGACTAGCTGTGCAACAGCTCTCGACAGATGCCATCATAGCCCAGAAACGGGCAGAGATCGCTGCCAAGGTCGCTGCCATGAAAATGAACAAATCCATCCCGGCGGCTCCCTCCAAACCTCCCTCAGTCGCTCCTTCCCCTTCTCCAGCGCCCACTCCTGCCGCCAAGACGCCCGTGACCGGGACTGCCAGTCCAGCTGTTGGCACACCTCCCGCTGGCGGAGCGGCGTCAAGCTTGGAGGATATCGCCCGCAGAGTCGTCGAAGCAAAACGGCGGGTGGCGGAGGCGCAAACAATCCTGGCCGTCAAGGACAATCCGTACATGGTAATCATGCCCTACCTACCCCATATCAATCCATCATACTGACTTGCTTCTGCGCAGTCCGTACCCGCACCGGGTAAGAAAGGTATTCGACCAGCCGAACCCGCTCAGCAGGGCGCGGGACTGAAGATGGCTGCTCATCCCCTGCTACTGGACAACACGCCTGTCGCCCCACAGTCTAAAAAGGACAGGTATAAACCCATGCAACCAAAGTTCGCCTCTATCAAGGTATGTGCATGTCGTCGAAGTAAAATTGTAATTCAAACCCGCGATCCATCAATCAGGCCAACATTCGCAATGCACCGACGCCACCGCCCGTGCCGACTCCCGTCCCCACAACGGAAGTCAAGTCTAACCCATATGCGTCTGGATCTTCTGCAGCTAAGGACACCGTCTTTGAAGGGGCACCCAAGGAACGGGTCGGCCGTTCATTCAAGTTCAATCCCAAGGGCAAGTATGTCCAATTGGGTAATCAGATGAGGCAAGAAAGCCAATTGGAGGCGCTCAAACAGCGTATCGCCGAAAGTGCCCGCAAGGCTGGTTTGGACTCCGAGTTCGAGACTCTGGAGAAGAATATCAAAGTGCGTGACCTTGTCCTCCCGTTTCCCACTTCAAGCTGACCCTTTGTGTGATTAGCGTGAACCGCCTCCGGAGGTTGAATGGTGGGATGCTGCTTTACTACCCAACAAGACTTACGACGACCTTTCAATGGGCTTCGCAGCGCTTAATATTCGCACAGAGAACTCTCCCGTGACTATTTACGTGCAGCACCCCATACCGATCCCTGCTCCTGCGGATAAGAACAAGGTTGGCTTGAAGCCGTTGAAGCTGACAACTAAAGTTAGTCTTTTGTCGCCGTAGTTTGGGCACCTGCTGACATATTGACTACAGGAACAAAAGAAGATGAGGAAGCAACGTCGCCAGGCCGAGTTGCAGGATAAGCGTGACCGAATTCGAATGGGTCTCATTCCTCCTGACCCTCCCAAAGGTACGTCACACTGCACGTTTACAGAGTTTTACTGATTTGATCGTCCGCTTTAGTCCGCCTCGCTAATTTGATGAAGGTGTTGACGTCGGACGCGGTGCAAGATCCAACCCGCGTGGAGGCACGTGTACGGAGGGAAGTCGCGATGAGGAAACATCATCACGAAAAAATGAATGCGGAGCGTAAGCTCACGGACGACCAACGACGAGAGAAAGTTGAGAACAAGAAAGTGGAAGAAGAGAAGAAGGGTATCTACGGTGCCGTTTTCAAGTATGTCTTCGTCCTTTAGCAACTGTGCATGATATTGACGCAAATCTGTATAGGGTCAAGACGCTGTCTGATCCCGCTCATCGGTTTAAAGTCCGGAAGAATGCTGAGCAGATGAACCTGACTGGGGTATGCATCTTTAACCCGTCGTTCAGTATGGTCTACGTGGAGGGTGCTTCCAAATTCATACGGACGTATAAACGCTTGATGTTGCACCGGATCGCGTGGACTGAGCCAGCACGACCTCGTGGTGGTGAGGACGTCGAGATTGATGAAGGCGAGGAAGGGGAGGAAACCAACGGAGATGGTGTGGGGAAAGCAAGAGCGAGGGCGGATTCACAAGGATTAATGGAAGGCGAAGCTGAGGTGTCCCTGGAGGACAACGCATGCTATATGATTTGGGAGGGTCAACTTCGTGATCGGGTGTTTAGCAGTTTCAAGCCACGAAGTTGCCCGACGGACGGTGCTGCAAAGGAGGCGTTGGGACAGAAGTTGGCGGGTTACTGGGATGTGGCGAAGAATTGGAAAGCGGAGGAGGAACTGTTAGTCTGACATGTTTCTCTTTCTGTCGTGCCACGTAGCTTTGCCCGGCAGACGGTGCCACGAAGGATGCGTTGGGACAGAAGTTGGCCGTTGAGTGGGATGTGGCGAAGAATTGGAAGGCGGAAGAGGAGATAGCTTGATGAGTTTTTTCTTGCTGCTGCTATTATCACAGACTTTGACTATACTATAATGAACTCCGTGCTATTGGATGTGATTCACAAACATTAAAAGCATCAATTGGATTTAACACTCTGAGTGTCTTCCCTTTGGATTCGGAATCAAATACAACAGCTTGTGGTAAATCTGATGAGTTGCATCGAGACGTAAACTTACAATTTACGAAGCGAGTTCCATCTGCACGAAACCGAACTCCGCCAACGTTTTTTATATAACTCGCTGGCTGTAGCTTTCTGGGCTAGGGATAGTTGGCGATAAGTGCTGAGAATGTCAATGAGAACCCCATCGGTGCCTTCACTATACACAAGTACGGCGTCTGCATGCCTATCACCGAGGGGTCTTACACACTACCATTACCTCTCCACTCCGCCTGCGACTTCGACATCTGGACAGATCAATCCTTCAGATCTATTCTCTTGCGAAACTCGTCGTTGCACCGGAATGTAAGGGGTTTGTCCGTTTCCCACCTTTCCCACTTCGAGTTGGACCGCCCCTACCATCGCTCCCCCAGTCTCCACAGCGCGTGCCGAACCGTCCTTCGCAACGAGACGGCATATAAGTAGTTGGGTCTTGGAATATCGTTCACCTCCAACTTGAGGTTAATGATATCAAGCGCATATTCGGCACTTGTCGTTTCGCTCCCTTTCCGCATACCTTTCACCGTAACGATGTCATCGGATAGGGAACACGAAATGAAGAAATCGCCGGGACGGTAATAATCACCGTCAGCGATGCGTGCAGGAAGACCGGCAGCTTATAATCGGCAAACCTATGTTGGTTAAGCTGAGAAGTTCATCAAAAGGCCCGAACCCCCACTGTATCCTGACAATTCATCGGAATGATCGCTGGATAAAGCACTAAGGACCAGAGGGGATCATATGCAAAGGATGGATATGGAACGAAATAGCCTTTCCCCTAGAAAAACCAGCCGCCGCGTATCCTACCTCCAGTATCACCTGGAGGAGCCTGAAGAACGCACGTTCTGGACCCTCCCTATATGCCACCACCATGCTAATTCCACATATTCACATCATAACTTGTCCTCTTCTCTCGTGGTGACTCTTCAGGCAACCCACCTCATGCACAATATTGTGGTAAAGGTAGGATCCGTAAATCCAAGCTTGAAGTTAAGAAAATGATCCATCTCTATACAAGTCGCGGTCGAGACTGACTTTGCCAAGAAGGCGGAAATGCAGAGAGAGTAGGTTCCACCCATGAGTTTTCTCGAGGTCCCAGTGACATACTTGTCGTTCCAGAAGTTGGTAAGCGAGTACCTAGTCTGCAGCTACAAAGCTCCTAATCGCGACAGTACGAGAAGTTCCTGCAAGGTCCACCCCCTGCGTGAACAGGCGATTCAGCAGCGAGGTCAAGCAGTGACTCCCGTTTGGCCGACATAAGTAATGCAAACATGAGCATTACGATACCACTGCGAACATCGAATGGATCGATTCATCCAGTTGTGCGTTACTGGACCTTGTTCAATACGAACTGTATCCGCCCAAGCGAATTCGGTACCCATATCTTTATCGCCTATGTTACAGGATTTCTTGCAACCCTGCTTCCCACCGCCGCACTCCTGGTGGAAGTCATCGTAATTGGGTTCCCCCGCTTCCTATGTATGCGACAGGATGGCAAATTCTTTGACGTCTTCCACCCATGCATCGATAGCAGAGTCGCACATCGCCGTGGGTGAGAGCCGTCCTCGGTCCAAACATTTCCTTTTCTCCACTGCTCTGACTTCCTGTACCACATTCTCGAGTCTGATCTTGACGAGATAATTCACTACCGCACTTCTTTCATCTACGGGAGCATTGTGACGCGCAGGGGACGGTTGGCGAAAACGGTATAACAAATCTTTGACTCGGCACCACTGCGCAGACTATCACCACTAGACCAATATCGCCGTTGACCCTCGTCATGAACTGACAATTAAACCACCCACTTGAGAAGCAATTGTGCGGGACCCATTGACTGATCGAGGCGATTGTCAATGGATCATCATATTGAGATTAAGAGAGCGAGTGGTGGCACACATAGGACACAGACGACAGTTCAAGTTTGACGTAAAGCGAGTCGTCGAACTGCTGCAAGCACGCGGTGGCCAAGTTCCTGCGCATATTAGATTTCTATCTTTCGTTTTCAAGAACCGCTAAACCCACTCACGGACCAGGTTTAGTAAAAACCGATGTGGAGGGGTCGAACGATCTGCCAGAAAGTGTATCCATCAAAATATAATGTGACGTGCAGTTTACTCACTGATTTTCCGAAAGACAAGATGTGTACGTGGAGGTCCAAAGTTTGAAAGGGGTGGCGTTGGGGCACCGGTGTCCTTGGGCTCTAGTAGTCAGTACAAACTGTGCCAGCCTACTTATCAGCGACAGTGCGTTGTACTGGTAGGTGCTAGACGCTCTTGGCAGGTACCGGGAGTCCTGGTTGATCCTGGTGGTCTTGACATCACTCGCACTGCCAGTGCGTAGTTGGTAGCAAAATTCACACCAGGCTGGCAGCTCATATGATTGTCAGGCATGATGTCATTACCAGAAAAAAGTAAAGCAAGAAAGAGAGAAAGGTTGCAGATCACTAGTCCTAGGGGGTACTAATCGACAAAACCAACCGCGTGTCATATTCTTATGTAAGTACTGATAGCCACATCCAACTTGATACATCCTTGTTGCAGACGTGTAGCTCGATGCGGAAGCATTGTTTATCATTACATTCAGAGGCATTTTATGTTTGATTAAGATGAGGATATTCCAGTGGTCGTGTATTCCGAACTGCTCGACCAGTTTATGTATGGATACTTATGTAAGTAGTGGTAGCCACATCCAACTTGATACATTCTTGTCGCGGACATGTAGCTCAAGGCAGAAGTGTTGTTTATCATTACATTAAGATGCATGCATAGCATAGCTACAGAGAATAATATAAAAGGTATCCCACTCGTCATGTATTCCAAAATGCCAGCGTCGGGGCGCTCGGGACTTTGCTCAACTCAGCTTATGTAATCACCAGCAGTGCACCTGTACATTCGGACGCATTGCACTAGGTAGTACTAGGGTTGCATACCATTATATTGAGGGAATTCTGGAGATTTCAGTGTACTGGCAGTTCCATAAGGTTGCACTTGAATCTATTAGGAGGTATTGGAAATTTATTGGGATGGGTCACTACCAAACGAACATGCCACATCCAGAGCACCCAAAGCTCGAACCTCAGCTAATACTTGTGACATGCTAACGATACCACCACCACGCAACCAATCCCCAACATAGGCAAACCAGGGGTAGGTACTCAAGGACAGACGACGGCAGGCAAATACCCGTTCGCTACGAAACCTGTAGCGATGAGTCCTGTGTACTAACATTTGATGAAGGAAAGTCTTACCAGTGGCTGCCTGCCTGATTAGAGCTCGCCGTAGTCACCCCATACAAGTTCATCCTGGGGAAACACCTCATCCTCACCGTCCTCCGGGCCCAACTCTAGCTTGTCTTCCTCCAGATCAGGCCCATCAATATCATCGCCCATACCTCCCACACTTCTGCTCTCGTCCTCCACTTGTTTAAGTCCATCATATCCATTCTCTTCCATTTCGAGTGATTCTTCATCATCTTCAGCTTGGATTTCGTCATCTGGTGACACAATAGTTGACATTCCAGTTATATTTTCATGTTCTTCATTGTCCGTAGTGCTGAAATCACAGGTCCTATCCAGATCGTCACAATCCTGCTTGAAAACATTTGTAGCTGTGCGGGTTGATTTGTGGCCGATACCACCACCACGAAAGCGCATCAGCATGTCTCGATCAACAAACCTATGGATGATTAATGTTCGACAGGTCAACATCAGACGTGAATGAGACATTTGAAACTCACATGTTCACATACAAGTAAACCCAGTCTTCGTCATTCTCTTTCTTCTGTCGAGCAAGTGAATGCGGCAAGTATTCATCTGTCCGGCCATGTGCAAATGCTGGAATCAAATGAATTGCATGGATGACATGATGAGGGTCAAGGAATCCAAATGTGCCAGGGTCCTCATGAGGAATAAAACCAATGCGATGGAGTCGCTTGACATGCCACCCAGACTTGTGTGACATGTCGTGCCCAAACCATCGTACCCACAAGAAATCCACCTTCTGGGGCTCCATGGACCCGGAACCCTTGTGAACAACAAATGTGTGAAATACACCAAGTATCCGTGCATACCAGTAAGGGTGCTCGTGGCTTTCATCATCCTCATGGGCCAAGACCATGACATCTGCACAGTTTCATGGATTGAGAGAATCTTGGGCACGCCGCATGTCATATGTTGTATAGTTAACCCGCAGAACCTTGTGGCAGTAGATGCGGTCCTTGAAAATTATCACATTGCTGCGCTCAGCAGACGTGAACGACTGTTCATCGCCATCATAAGCCTGGCCCAGGAGTCGGGTGAGAACATGATCTTTGAGCCGAGGTAAGAAATCCTGTTCATGGGGCCAACGATCAGTTGTTTCCAATGAACCACGGTGCGGGAGTATTCAAAATAAAACTTACTTCTAAGGCTGGGTCCCCCTTGTTTTTACCAAGCCACATTGGCAGGTTAATATAGTTCCTATTACTCTCTGACATGTGATAGTGAGCCTTTGGGTCGCTGTATGACAGTGGTTCTGACTCGTCAAACTGAAGGCGGTGAGATTCACGTGATCCTCCCTTCAATGGTGGAGCCTGTCGTGTGTTCCCTGAAGCATCACTTTCCAACTGGTGCTGATAACGCCTATTCATCTCGAATAGGATCCGCTCCCGGCATTGCTGCTTTGAGATACCAGCTGTGAATCTAGACTTGTTAACTTTTGGGTAGAATCGCTTGACCCGTCGGTGCTCGAGCTCGCCCTACAGCAAGAGAACTTAACACAACTGGATATTGCTTGTAGCTCGCTGGAAACTTACCAACTGCGTTGTATAGTTGTCTGTAGGTCCAAATTGACGAATGGCATTGACATAGTCACCAAGTGCATGGAGTTTGTATGTGGAGAGGTTCAGATACCGCAGCTTTGGCCCCTCAGCTTTCTGCTTTCCCTTGCTGTTGATGCCACTTCCCCCTGCTGAGTCTGAGTTACACGGCTTGGGTTCTGTCAGGTTCCTACTGCCAGACGCATCTTTTGCTGCTGATTTGAGTAGCATGGCTGCTTTGCGGCGCCCACGAGCAGCTTCTTCAGCTGGAAGATCCTGGGTTTGGTAAGCTTTCTTTGTCTCACATGAAAACCGACAGAGGATCTGGCCCAGGCGTGTTGTAGAAGTGTCAAGGTAATCTAGAGTAGAGTTTGTGTGCATGCACAGCTTAGCTAGTCCATGCCAAGTAGCGAGCTCAAAGAGTAAGTCAAGAACAATGGCATTGAAAGGACGGGGTAGAAGATTCTCAAACACAGGAATTGTGCACTATGACTCACACTCAGACATGAGATCATTCAGTGGAAAGAGATTGACCACACACACACCTGAAGTAGGTCTTCAAAGTCTCAGTGCAGCCAAACGCTTCATGCCAGAGACATTGTTGCTGAACTTTCGAATTGTTCCTCGCCCAAACGGGGGTATCTGGCGGTACCTGTAACACGAATGCTTGACAACAAATGTACCATTATTTGTAGTGCTTGCTTACCGTTTGTTTAAATCTTGGATAGCATTTTCACCATGGGCATACAACACACGGAGAAGGTGTGTAAAGGTAGCCTTCCATACTCCAAGTTCGAACTCGTGTAGTAGATCTGGCACAAACATGGAGAAAAAATTGACCCCAAATTGTGAGAGTCGAGTTGAGAAGGCATTCTAAAGTATTCAAAGGCAATTACAAGTTATCACATAGTTTGGACAGGCTTGAAAACTTACCACTGTTGGAACAAGTGACTCCGGCATTAGCAAGCGCTTTACTGCTGCACTCGCTATGTTCAAACCCTTCACAAAGAGCCACTCCCACACTTTCTTCACCACAAACCAAAATCTGTTGTTGTCAACACGTGCCCTTTTAGAGCGAAGATTTCGAATCAGCC